GTACCCTAATGGGTACAATTAAAGTAGTGCCTCACAACCCTATATTAACTAGTTTACGTGAAGTGTTGTAGTGTTCTCTTATACTTGAAAACTGTATCAACTCATGGTATTGTACTTTGTAACGTAGAATAATTATACTTAAATAATTATTTAGTAATTCATCCTTGAATCAATGTATTGTAGTAGTGCTCCATAAACTATCAAACTATAGTTTATATACTTGTTTATGTAATAGTGTTATTGAATTTGTAAAGATAGCGTAGTGTTTCCCCAAACTATACCTATTATAGTTTGATTGTATGTTCTTGTATAGGTTCTTGTACTTTGTAAAATAGTGTAGTAGTTCACAAACTATACCAATTATAGTTTAAATGTAATGTTCTGTAATGTACAGAAAACCTTTGCAATTTAACCGTGTATATGAAGTAGTAGTAACCGATCCATGAAAAGTACCCTTTTGCTCGACATGTTACAAAAGGGTTAAAATATACATAAATATATTTTCATAAATTGTAGCGGTAAATCAGTTTGAATCAATTGCAAAAAGGTTTTGAAATCGTTTGAATATTAACACAAGAGTTATTGTGTTTTATTTGTATCCCCCCTAAAAACATTAAAAATAGGGAAAATGTAGGGGTATGAACTCACCTCGAGTGTGCGTTTGTGTTTGAATAGCGAGCTGAAGAGGCGATCATTGGGTAAGCATACGTGCGAATAACGTTATCCTAAAAATAATTATGTTCGACGTCGAATTTAAATTAATAAGATATTAATTTAAATAATAGGTTAAATAATGATTTAAATAACAATTTAAGTGTTAAACAACACTTTAATTATGTAAGGGATACTTACAAAATTATTTGGAGTTATTTGAAGTGTTGAAAGGAGTTTTCGGTGAGGAAATGGGGTTTGCGGTGTGCTCTTGGGGGTTTTCGGTTGGATGCTTGAAGATTTGAAGATATGAACGAATGTTCTTGGTGTTCTTGGTGAAAATAAGAAGGTTTGGGTGGAAATATATTGAATATATGCTATTTACGGATGATACTTTAGAGCAAAAGTGGGAGTGTTCACGGCTTGAAAAGTGAGAAATGAATTGAGTTTACTGCCACAACACTTATATATAAGTGGGGTTTTCGGCCTTAGCGGGCTTGAACAATTGGTTTTTCGGTCCATTAAGGGACTTTAAGTTGGGTTTTCGGCCCATTAAGGGTGTTTTCCTTTTTGATTTCGGTCATGGTGACCGAAAACTCATTGGTTCATGAGATTATAACTGAAAACCATTTTTAATTTCAATTCCCTTGGCCGAAATCTCCATGTTTTAGATTCTTTGGACCGTAAGCCCCTTTTCATATTGAGTTCTTGGCCGAAAACCTTATTTGATTTAATATTTTATAGTTTCAGCCTTAGATTTTAAACTTATGTTGATGTATACTAACATAAAATCAACTTAGGCTTTAAACTATACTTAATCATTAGCTTATAAACATGCCCTTAAGGCAGTAAAGAATAAAGCACAAAGTGGATGGAAATGTGGTTTGGACTCTTAATGATTTGAAAATGACGGGTTGTTACAGATTTGGGTTTTATAGGGCTTACTAGTGTTAGTTTTTCCTTGTACTGATTTGGGGTATACAGTGTCTGCAATTCAGGAAGAGGGATAAAAGGGGTCCAGTTTGCCCTCATCTTCATGATTATTGAGTTGTTTGTGTGCTCGTGGGTTTGAGTTGGCTTGTTCATAGAAGAAATCGATTTAGGTGGTCGTGATGGGAGTTCATCAGAAATCAATTTTTGGGTTTGTGAATATGATCTTCTTGTTCTTGAACTTAGGAAAAAATGAGTGTTCTTAAGATTCATATTCATATCTCTGTGAGAGAGAGAAAGATTTATTTTTGTTTTATTTTTAATTGTTTTTTAATTACCGATAATAACACAAAAATGAAAAATTAGATAATAAGGAAAAAATTGTCTTTACAAACAAATTCAAACCAAATTGGACCAAACTTATAAGAAAATGAAACTTTTGGACAATTGATGCTAGCCCAAACCGTTTTGGCTCAAACATGCTAGTTTTGACATACCACATGGACCATTCTTGCAATTTTGTCCAAATAAAATACACAACAAATATTGTTAATTTAAAACATCTACCATAAAAAATATTATCCACAGTTATATACATAATAATATTTGAAGTGGTTTGTAAATAAAATATAATGACAAAAATTCAATGCCAAAGATATTTTTGAAGCATCAAACAATTTTAATATATAGAGCTTGGTTCTTACGAGAACAGACTTAGTTCTCGAGAATCCAAGAACTCTTTATGGACCATTAGGCTTTAAGGTGTACCTAAATTCAACGCCACTACAAAATCATCTCACACCACATCCCTGGTGGGATAATGTTCACCTCTACCATTTCGTAAAGAAGAAGAATAAAGAAGAGACAGAAACTAAAGAATAAAGAAGAAAGAAGATAATCACATTGCAATCCGTTGCACTGGCCATAACCCACCACGACACACAAGGTGGAGGTGTTGTTTGGATGTTATAACGCCAACAACATAGACACCATACACACGACATTAGTACACCCAAAGCCTTGGATCAAAAATTAGAGGGTCAAGATTGATGTGGCAAAATGGTAAATCAGTGTATAAATCAATAGTTCATGTCATTTAATTAAAAAAATAAGGTAAATGACACAAAAAACACTCTTTTTACACAGAAATTCGATTTTGACACTGTTTTTTTTGTGTCAATTTTGACACCGTGTTTTCCAAATTGTTACAACTCTGACCACTTGACTGGTTAACCAGGTTACATGCTAACGTGGCATGATGACATTATATGTTGACGTGTCAAAATTGAATTTTTTTCTCACAAAAAAACACTAAGTTTTTTATTTTTTTTCGATTTTGACACTAAGTTTAATTTTTTCTTTCAGCTTTGACACTATGTTTTTTTGTTCCAAATCGAACACATTTTTTCCAATTTTGTTCAATGTTGACAATTTTCTATTTGAAACCGTATAAATATTTTTTTAATACATTAAAACCGTATAAATATGTTTTTATTTTTTTTCCATTTAAAAACCATAGTTTTGTATAAAGGGGAAATGACGTATAGGCCCTATAATGTTTCTAGGGTTGACCCATTTAGCCAGTTAACTTATTTTGTGGCTTAATAAGGGAACGAATTATTTGTTACCTAACAATATAGTCCCTTTTACCTATTGTAGCCGGTTAACGTTGCCACAAAACCTAGCCTAACACGTAAGCGATGACATGGCAAGAAGTTAAATCGTCCAAGAACGGCAACGACGTCGTATTGAAGGTGAATCGTAAGGAGCAAGGATCGACAGTTCTAGCGCCTCCATATAAAATGAAGACTTCGTTGACCTAAAAGGGCACATATGCAAACTTCATTACCCCAATCTCGTCTCTGAGTTTACTCCAAAATGGCTTCGAGCGGATGTGCAAAACACAACTGGTCTCCAAATTACAGTTGTCACATTGATAAGCATCATTCGAATGGTGTAACCAACGAAGACATGGCCATCAGTCTACTGCAAACCTAGATGGAACTGTCTCTTATACGGGAGGACTTCCAAGACCAGTTGCGTGAGCTCCGTCAGGCAGTTAATCGACACTTAGATGCCATGAACCTTGAGGTCGATGACGTTCGCACTGGTCTGATGGATATCTCACATATGGTTGGTGATCTTAAAAATCATCTCATTTCTCTGCAAGGAGCATATGTGAAGATGGTCTTCAAGGACAACAAACGTAAGAAGCTGATGTCTTGTGTTGGGATTTTTGGTGTTGTTTGTGCGTCTATGGTGACGTATTTGGTGTTTAAGTAAAAAAATGTTGTGTAGGTTGAAGCATTTCACTCCTAGGTTTGTGTTTTGGTGTGTTTCCTATGTTGTTTAGTGTCAATATTAGTAGTAGATTTTGTGTGGGTTGCTGGTATTAGTTTGTGATATTGGTCTGTAGATTTGGTGGTGGTGTTGCTGGGCTACTGATTTGTCATCGTTTTTTGATGAAGTTTTTTGTCGATGATCTCTGTAATAGGTTATTGAATAGCATAAAGCAATGTAAACAAACTCATGGGTGAAATGTGTTTTAATATGTTATTATTAAAAAAAACGAATTTGTCTTTCACCTGTATCTGTATGTGTGCATGAAAGAAAGAAACATTTGGGTATTATATATGTTTCATCGACTGGGACGGCACCACAAGACAAAGCAAAATGAATTTACCTTCTTTATGCGCATAGACAGGGACCACAAATGGTGCAGTTTGGGAAAAGGGGCAAAAAATACATTTGCACACGATTGAACCATATCTGCTTGTCTGCAAACCTTTTTTGAAAAAAAAGGGAATAAAGTTTTCTAAAGATAGCCTTTTCATGTTGAATGGATTAAGTCACAAGTCCCCTGTTTTTTACAATGACTTAATTACCCCTGCATGAAAAATGGTCAATTTACTTTGTAATGACTTAATTACCCCTGCATCCAAAATGGCCAATTTACTTTGTAATGACTTAATTACCCCCACATCCAAAAATGGTTTTAATTTCTAATGATTAAAATGCCCTCACATCCAAAATGTTAAATTTATTTTCTAATGACTAAAATGCCCCCACAACCAAAATGGTCAATTTAAATAGTAATAACTTAAATACCCCCACATCATAAATGGTCAGTTTACTTTGTTTTGGCTAAAATGCCCATAATACCCCTAAATATTCGTAGTACACCATAAAAGAACATACAAAGATAATTTGTTTACTGCAACACACATTCACTACAAATAACAAACAACTACTTAATCCAAGTCCATGGCCGTTGCAACACTGCTACCTTCACCTCCTACATTTTTTGCAAGCTTCAGTTTAATGATTCGTTCTGACTTCTTTCACATTTTAGGTGGTTTAACATGCTTAACTCGAGCATTGACATTCACCCCTTCATCCCGTCTATTGACTCCCACCATTCACTCTTCATCTCTAGGCCTATCCAAAGCATCAGTAGCATCTACGATTACCTCATCATCCCCTACTCCTGTGGCAACGTTTACAGACTCCTGCGTAGGTATAGTTTTTTGTTTCTTTGTTCCATTTTGTTTGGATGTTCCTACACCTTTACTACAAGTAGCCTTGTTGTGTCCTTTCTCCTTGCATATGCTGCAAGAAACTTTCTTCCCTGCCTTGCAGAAGGTATGTTTTCCCATCCATTCAGAAGCATCTCTTATTCTCTTTATGGTTGGCCTTCCTGACATACATCTTTTCAATGGAGGCAAAGGGGGTATCAAGTCAGTAGAAGGCCACATATTTTGTCCATTCATCCCATGGATTGGCTGTTTGTAAGTATTATGGTATAATGCAGCCAAGTACATTGGATCTACATATGGACTGTCAGGTGTCAAATTTAAGTAGGCTAAGGTGGCAACTGAGTGTACGCAGCCATATCCATTAAGTTGCCATAGCCTGCAGCTGCATTCCTTTTTTTCAACATCCACAATAAACGCCTTGTCCATCTTCCTTGCCTCAAACTTCATCCCCCCACAAGAAATGACATGCCAATGCCTACATATATAGATGAAAACCGCAAATATCATGAGATGTGAAGAGTAAAGTACTAATATAGTTGGATAAATGTACAAACCTTTGCTCAGTTTGGAGCATATTCAACCGTATTCTGATGTTTGGACACACAGAATAAGCATTCCATCCTTGTCCGATTAGTTTCATAGTCACCATCCTTTGCATCACATATATACGAATGTCCTCTAACATGCTTATTATTGGTTTCTTCCGGGCATCCAAAATCACACTATTAAAACTCTCTGAAAAACCATTCTCTACTGACTCACAAGAATTATGAACTCTAAAAAAAGCCAAAGACCAAGTCTTTGGATCTCTAGCCATAAGATGCACAACTGCTTCCGGATTTAATTTTCCAATCTCTTTCATAACTACATTAAATTGTGCTTCAGTTGTTGCCTTGCTCGCTTTCCAAAACAGATTTTCAAACTTGGATCCACTAAATCTCTTTCTAAAATTTGCATATATATGTCTAGCACACTGCCTATGTTCAGCTGCTGGAAATACTTCCTTTACTGCCTCAATCAAACCCTACATAAGTCACATTAATGTTTGAAATTCGAATAGCAATAACTAAATTTAAAACATGCAATAGTTTTGAACCATACCTTGTGTTGATCCGAAATTAGAACCAAACCGTTACCATCATTCCAACATTGCAAATCTTCTGAAAGAGTTTCTAAGAACCATTTCCAAATCTCTTTGTTTTCCACAGAAACAACTGCCCAAGCAATTGGGAATATTCCATTGTTAGCATCTCTACCCACAACACAAAGTAACTCCCCTTGACAAAAAGTTTTCAGAAAACAACCATCCAGGTTAATGATCCTCCTACATCCTCCCCTCCATCCCTCTTTTACTGAAGCAAAACATATGTATATTTTGCTGAAATAATTCTTACCATCAGGCATTGAATCAACACAAATTTTAACTGTGGATCTAGGATTTGATCTTTTAATCTCCTCACCATATGACCATAATCTTCCATAATTCTTAGCTATTGTCCCTTCAACTAGACTCAATGCATACTTCTTGACTCTCCTACACTGACTCATACTCACGTTAATCCCAAAATCTATTTTTACCTTCAGACGCTCATCGTTTGATTGTTATAAAATTGGTGCTTAAAGTGGGTCCCTATCCATTTGTAAGTCACAATTGATCCGAATTTGAAATTCTTTGCACAATTATGCTCACCGATAAGAGATTTTATCTGGAAAGACTTATCTTCACTCATCCAAGAACCCCAAAGCCTAAAAGTACATTTGCCATCACAACATTTGACAAGTAATCGTCTAGTATCATTCTTAACAAAACATAATTGATAACCATTCGCGACAGCATAGTTACAAAGCATGCGTTTCAATTGCTTAGGACTCTCAAACCTCATACCTAAAACAAGTTCCTGCTCCTTCCAATTGAGCTTATCATTGAAAATGTTTGGCAATTCGGGATAAACATCTTCATTGTCACCCATGTCTTCTTCGAAAAACTCACCTGCACCTGCTTTCCCACCCATCTCTACCTGACTCTCATTACCCTTTATAAAAAAAATGAGGCTTCTGATGGTCATCCTCATCGCTATCGACATCCTCATCCTCGTCGTCATCATCATCGCCATTATGTACCTCATCGTTTGTGTCACTGTCACCCACATCCCGATACCTTGGTGCAACTTCCTTAACCAGTCCTGCACCATCAAGTACTTCGTCCTCAACGTTACCAACAAACTCGTCTTTGTGTTTATCCAACCATTCCTGTATATTACTATCCCCAAAATGGTCTACATACATAGGGAGTATAACACCACATTCATATGCAATTTTAATGATGTCGTAATAATTGGGTCATTGCAAATTAGAGTCAAACCTTTTGGGAAATCAATATTAGGTTGGCAGTAATAGAGTTTCTCACACTTTTCCCCAGTGAACCTTTCGATGAACACAACACACCCATCCTTGTCCATTCCTGCGAAATCAATGTCCGAAAACCTCTGAGTAATTCCACCGGTGTAGTGTATGGGGTTTCTGGCGAACATTCCTTGGAAGTGGACATCTACTTGTAAGAATACGGGTTTCATGCTTGAGGATTCAGAAGCAGCTCACGAAAAAGGGTTTACCGATGAAGTGTTGAACAGTGGATGTAAAAGGGCTCTTTTATAAAGCATATACGAACATTACGAAGGAGGCAACTAATTAATGACATGGCATTAGACGAAAGTCACAGTCAGCATCCGATGTGGTGTTAGTAGAAGGAGGTGGACTTAAAATGACCGGCTAACCCCTTCAAAATTGAAATAAGGACTTAATCGACCTGACAAAGACTAATTCGTTCCCTTATTAAGCCACAAAATAAGTTAACTAGCTAAATGGGTCAACCCTAGAAACATTATAGGGCCTAAATGTCATTTTCCCTTGTATAAATACATTTGTTTTTACACTCAAACCATAATTTTATATATAAATATGTATTAGTTATATAAAAATTGTATTTTATATTAAATATGCAACTTTCAAATGTGTTTGGAGGTTTGGAGGCGTGTAGTCGATCAAAACTCAGATATCAAATTTGCAACCCATCAAATTTTTATATCTTATTAGAAGCTTATGGTTAGTGTGATTCTCATGATATAACTAATGTTTTGAATGTATGAAAAAAAACACATTGTATTTAAATAAAAATGTGGTTTTTAAACGAAAAAAATATATTTATACGATTTAAAATGTAATAAAAAAATATATTTATATGGTTTCAAATAGAAAATAGATAAAATTGAACAAAATTTGATAAAAGATGTTCGATTGGAACAAAAAAGAACACAGTGTCAAAATTGAAATAAAAAGTTAAACTTAGTGTCAAAATCGAAAAAAGTGAACACTTAGTGTTTTTTATGGAAAAAAAATCAATTTTGATATGTCAGCATATCATGTCAGCATGCCACATCATCAAAACTGATACGCCATTATGCCACGTCAGCATGTAACCTGGTTAACCGGTCAAGTTGTCAGAATTGTAACAAATTGGAAAACACAGTGTCAAAATTGATAAAAAAAAAAAACACGGTATCAAAATCGAATTTCTATATAAAAAGAGTGTTTTTTGTGACATTTACAAAAAAAATACGAAGTAGTCTAGACATTTTATATTATTGTGTGGTTAATCATCTGTAATCAGATCCCGTAAACATCTTAATTAATAATTACTAATGCAATTTTTGAATATCGAATATTTAACTATGATTTTACCAAAATTTGCTTCAATTTGTTGTTCTCAATCAAGTGAAGAACAACTCAAGAGAGGTATGTAAACTTCATCGATTAGGTCTTTATTTATTTATTTATTTATTTATTTATGAAAATCATAGCCAGTTGCAAATAATAGTTGATTCATAGAATATGCTCATTATAAATCATTGACACAAATATCATTTCATGGAGCCATTTACAAAATTAAATGGATGCAATCTATTATCACATATAACGATATCATGGGGCATTCGTGGGGGCATCCATGAACACCAATCTCTAGCGCTTTTCCATCGTCAGCGATCCTAAACCCCTTAAAAAACCCTTCACCGAATCCTTCAAGAACGCAATACCCAAATTCATATTTTCATGTAAATTTTGTATTTTTTTCCACCACCAAACGCACACACAGCTATGAATTCAACACTTCTCAGAACATCACCATTCATCCATCGTCGTCCTTTACACTCTTCACGAGTTCCGGAGCCTTTTGCCCCCTTTCGATACAATCTCAATACAAAACCATTATGGAAACAAAAGCTTCAGATTTCACGAACCTCCAATTTCTTTAACACCAAAGTATACCCAAAGAATCCCATAACCAGAGAGACTGTACCCGAAGAATCTACCAAAGATTCGTCAAGAAAAGAGGGTTTTGAGAAGTTTGGGGGTTTATTGAGATGCGGATTTCTTCTCGGTCTGTTGGTTTTGGGGGTAATTCGATGTCAAAGAGCTCTCGCATTGGATCCTGGCAGCGATTTAGGGGTTTTGGCACAGACGGGCGTTGTTCATACACAAGGCTTCTGGAATGGGCCCAAAATTTCACAGATTTTCCGAGTTTTCAGAGAACAAGGTTTGATTTTAGCTGCACTTTTGGGCTTATCTGCCTTCTTCTCCATGGCCGAGACTTCGATCACCACTCTTTCACCTTGGAAGGTATCTATCCCGTGTTTGATTACCTACATCGATATAGTGGTCCCTCAGTATTGTACATTGCTCACAGGTGAGAGAGCTAGCTGAAAAAGAAGATGAAAATGGCGTCTTCAAGCTCCTTCGTACCGATATCACACGATTCCTCACCACCATTCTCATTGGCACAACGTAAACCCTACAATTTCTTTTCATTTCCAATGAAACCTTGTTATTAACAATCATAATCTTGTTTCCAGCGTAGTCAACATTGGAGCTACTGCACTTTTCACTGAAGCAGCAACAACAGTTTTTGGTGAAGCCGGTGTTAGTGCAGCAACTGGAGTCATGACTGTATGTATCCAAAACCTAATTTTTTAAACCAATACAATAAAATTTCATCTTAAAAACCTAAATGATTTGATTGTTAATTTAATTTCAGGTTGTTGTATTACTTCTCACTGAAATCACTCCCAAAAGTATAGCTGTTCATAATGCTACTGCTGTTGCTAGGGCTGTGGTAAGTAAATCTATTTGTATTTCGACTATTTTCTAATAAAAAAAATTACATTTTTAATATTATTTCAAATTAATTAATGTCTAAAATAATACATAGGTTCGCCCAGTTGCATGGCTCTCAATTGTTTTATATCCAGTTGGAAGAGTTGTAACTTTTCTTTCAATGGGAATGCTTAAAATTCTTGGTTTAAAAGGGAAAAGGTTAGCCATTTGACATTTCTTTCATAATGTAAATACTAAATACTTTAAATTTCATTTATCTTTTTAATAATTTATGATTAAATTTTGCTTTAGTGAGCCATCTGTGACAGAAGATGAACTGAAGTTGATGTTGAGGGTTGCTGAGTTGAGTGGGGCCATTGAGGAAGAAGAACAAGTATGCATATGAATATAAATATAAATATAAATATAAATATATAATGATTATAATTTATAATCCATGCACATTTATTTAAATTCAAAATTTTATTTAATGCAGGATATGATTGAGAATGTGTTGGAGATAAAAGATACTCATGTGAAAGAGGTTATGACTCCTCTTGTAGGTGTAGTTGCAGTTGATTCTGGAGCAACATTAGTTGATTTTCATCAATTATGGGTGACTCATCAATACTCTAGGTAAAAATTAGAAACAGTTTGTTTAAAAAAAGTATTTTTTTTTTTTTGATTTAAAAATAATTAACAAGTGTTGAATAATTGGACTTATAGGGTGCCTGTATTTGAGCAACGAATTGATAACATTGTGGGTGTGGCTTATGCAATGGATTTGTTGGATCTTGTTCAGAAAGTAAGTTGATTTTGAATTGTTTTATTTTATGTTATTTTTATTTATTGAGATTATTTAATTTATCATGAAATATGTGAAGGGGGATGTGCTGGAAACTGCTATGGTGGGAGAGATTGCTCATAAGCCTGCTTATTTTGTCCCTGGTAAGATTGTATGTGTATATATATATATATATATATATATATATAATATATATATATATATATATATATATATATATTCATAGATTTGTAAAATTATAAAACTTGGAGAAAAAAGAAATTGGTTAATTAGGTTAAAGTTTGTCCAAATTGTGTTTTTTATGTATAAAAACTTCTAATTTAGTCAGAGAATTATCATAATTATTTAGTTTCTTTAAGGGTTAATCACAAAAATCACTAAAGTAGGAGATGCATAATAACAAAATAACCATTTTTTTTTCATACATATAACACAAAATAACCACCCTTTTCACAAATGAATATATTTATTTACAAAATTGCTTTATGAATAGTCCACACACTATAGAAACTTTAAAAAATGAAAAAAATACCTTGTTTTTTGTGAAATGACATCATTATTTTCCAAAAAAAAGATTTTTAAAATTTTTTAGGAGTTTTTCAACATTGGGGATAAAACGATTTCGCAATTCGCATAATTCATTTTGTGAAACATGTAATTTTGTTATTTGTTAACAGGGTTAATCTCAAAAAAGACCTTGTATTTTGTGTTTTTTCCGGATTAAACCTCAAATTTATTTTTTGCCTGAAAAAGACCTTGTATTTTTTCATTTTTTCCGATTTGGCACTTTTAGTCATTTTTTGCCAAAAAAATTGTAAAATGCGAGGGTTTTTTTCGATAAAAACAAAAAAAGTTGAGGGTTTATTTGGAAGCATTTCGAAGGTTGATGGTTTTTCTCGGAAAAAAAAAATACAAAGTTGAGTCCTTTTTCGGAAAAAATGAAAAAACACAAGGTCTCTTTCAGGCAAAAAATAAATTTAAGGTTTAATCCGGAAAAAACATAAAATATAAGGTCTTTTTTGAGATTAACCCTTGTTAATATGCACCTTCTATTTTGGTCAGTTTTATGGTTGACCTTTTTGTAATCACATTTTAAAAACAAAGCTAATTTATGAAAGATTTGAACAAAAAGTTTTACGGGTAAACCCAATCTGAACAAAAAATTTATTACAATCAAGGATGATATAGGAGCATTTTTTATAAATTTTGAAGTGTAGATATAATTTTTATAAACCTGAAATTGTAGATATAATTTTTATAAAGCTTAAAGATGAATGATAAGTGAATAACCTTTTTGCAGATTCAATGTTGGTTTGGAATCTTCTTAGGGAGTTTCGTATCCGAAAGGTCCACATGGCAGTTGTTCTTAATGAATATGGAGGAACAGTTGGAGTATGTTCATGTTCATGTTCTTCTTGATGTTTTATTAATTAACATTTTCTTAAATATTTAAATCTAAAAACTAATTTTTCCCTTTTGTTTCTTGATGAGCAGATTGTAACCCTTGAGGATGTTGTTGAAGAAATTGTTGGTGAAATCTTCGATGAGAATGACTCAAAGGTAGTTGGAATTTAAATTCATAAACTTTATAAATTTAGCAAACATTTGTTATAAAATGTTTTTTGGATTACACTTTACAGGAGGAAATTGATAGAAAAACTGGGAATATTGTGAAGAGAGGGGATGGCGTCTTTGATGTTGATGCAAATACATCAATCGATCAACTTTGTGAAGATTTAGATATTATTTTGCCAGAGGTATGTAGTTTTTTTACTTTGTTTTTGTCAATCTTGATTATATATTTTCCAATAAAAGATGGAATTTTTTATTTTTAAATATATATATTACATGCAGGATCATCAATATGAGACAGTTTCAGGGTTTATATGTGAAGCATTTGGATATATACCAAGAACAGGTGAAAGTGTTAAAGTAATTCTTAAAAAAGCAAATGAAGAAGATGATGATGAGAGTAAACAAGAAAATAAGAATCAAGATCAGAAAGAAAAATCCCAAACATTCAAGCTTGAGGTAATTTTAATCGCTAAGAGACTGTTTCATAGTTGCTGATTGAGTTAGATCTGACTCAGACTGAGTCAGACCCAACCGAGTTAAGTAAACTCAACATGTAAAGATAAGTAAACAATTAAAACTTTAAAAGGCAAATACAAAACCCTAAAACTCATAATATGATTTGATTAAATATTTTATTTGCAGATATTGGCAGGAAATTGTAGGAAAGTAAATACAGTAAGATTTGAAAGAATAAACAATCATTCCGCAAAAGAAATCAAAGAAGCCGCTCGCATCATCCCCAGATTTTGGAAAAAAAAATGGAAAAATTACGAAAGCTCAGGAAGTGGTGATGATGAAACATTTTATCAAGAAACACCCCAAACCACCACCATTAACAACAACCAATGACCATCATCATCATCAAGGTATCATCATCATCATCATCATCAACTTTCACTTATTATATCTTATTCCCCTTATAACTTACACTAAAACCTAACTCAAAAAAAGCAAAAAAAAAAAACTAGAGATGAAGGGATGTGTCTACTTCATGTTTTGATGATAAAAACTCAATAAAAGGTTGTTTTTTTGCAGGTTTTTGAGGTTCTGTTTGCTTGGTGTATATATTGAGTCCAAGAGAAAGAGAATCTTGAAAACAGACTCTAGGGTGCACCGATGACCTAACCGGTGGTGGCTCATAACGGTTAGTTTGACTTTGACTTTGACTTTGACCTTGACCTTCAGGAAACAACTTTAAAACCTCCATCTCTTCCCTCTTCTCTCTCATTCTCTCAAGCTGCCGGAATCTTTCTTGCAGTAGAGCTATAGAAGAAGCACCACCACCACCACCGCCGCCACCTGCCGCCATCAACTTGCCGCCTTGCCTTCCCATAGAATGAAGAACTATCACTAATGTTTTTAGTTTGTGGGATATTTGTTAATTTTGTGTGGAACCTATTGATGGTTTTCTTTATGTGAGTGTTATATATATATATATAATGTAGGGGTGTGTGTTTTTAGTTTATAATAATATTTGTTTTGGAGAGTGAGCCTCCCTTTGTGGATTCTTGATGACGTCATTGGGGTATAGAATCGGCTAATGGAGCACAAGATCCAAGGGGAAAAAAGAAGGGAGAAGGCAAAAGGACTTTTTGAAGGAAAGAAAGGGTGAAGGAGTGAAAACAAAAGGACAAAGAGAAAGAGTGGTAGTGTTTGGAATTTTGTGTTTGTGAGAATATAAGGTTAGGTTTGATGCTGTGGTCAGGGTTTTTGTATATTTTTATTTTTATTTTTATTTTTGAGTGCTTTAAGCTTTGTAGAGAAGATGACAAGGTTTTTGGTTTTTTGTTTATGGAGTTTATGTACATGTTTCTATTCCAAAATATTGCTTCTGATTTACTATATAGTATGATGGGAATTTGCTATAAAATCGTTTGTGTTATGATGGGAATTTGATGGATGTTTTTTTGGTTCTTGATTTTGACTTGTGACTGTTGGAATTCTAGGGGTTAATATCTTTCATTTAATTAGGGTAAAGATTGAGATTGCATATAAAACAAATGGTGGAATTATCGTCTATATGGACTAGAGTGTGTGTTTGTTTGTACCTTAGCCAAAAAAGAATGGTTACATTCATGGAATGGTGTTTATTAATTTATGTTGTACGTACATATTTGTCTTCTATGATGTATGCATCAGTTAGTCTATGGACATGTTTATTTATTCATATTGTACACACATCTTTGTTTTCTACAGTAGTTATTTATAGTGTTCAAAAGTGTTAACATATTTGAAAAAATATGTACATAAGGAACGTAAATATGTGATTTATGTTACGTACACACAAGATTAAGAACTAGGAAACTAGTAATCTTTGGACGAAATCACTCAAAACTTGAGATTATTGGTGGTGTTTTGGTAATTACTTTGACCGACTTGTTTACGTAGTTTTCTTTAGAAATAATAACAATGTTTTATGTACTTTTGTTTACTAGAAATGTCTTCAACAAGCTTGTTTATGTAGTTTTCTTTAGAAATAATAACAATGTTTTATGTACTTTTGTTTACTTGAAATGTCTTCAACAAGCTTGTTTATTCCATTTCCTAATATTTAATGTCTAATCTCTTATATATCTCTTCCTATGCCATGTCCTTTATTTTCTTTGACTCATAGTTGGCGGCGTCATTTTGTCTTTCTTTTCCATTGCCTATTTCTTCATCTCCACTACACTATAAAAACTCCCTAAAGTTAACGTCTTTAACCCTACCTTTATCCCGAACCTCCTCGCTCCACCACCATGATTCTCTATGTTCATTAACTTTTCCTGACGACGTACCAAGAGTGTCTTTAGTTACATATATGATGGTTTACGGGGAGCATTATGGAACAATCTTGTAGAATATTCTATTGATGTATATATATATGATGCATATAGCTAGCTAGGTCTACTATAAGTCTATTATGACGAGAACTTGAAACCTATTGTATTGGTTTTGGTGTTCTTGATTACATCAATGTCTCCAAAAATGATTGTGCAACAAAATCTAATGATCTAAAATGGATCAAGATCGATTCCATAATGAAACTATTGATTTATGACATGATTTGTCAACCTCCAATTTATATGATTATCAAGTAAAACACAATGACTCAATTAGCATGGAGAAATTGAGAAACCCATTTTCACGACAACAAAGATGCTAAAGCCATCAAACTCAAAAATAAGTTGCACAACATCACCATTTGTGATTCGTCCATCAACACATACCGTACACACATCAAAACAATTACAAAACACTTGGATGATATTACTTCTATAGTCCCAAGAAGAATATTGTCACCCAAATGATTAATGGCTTGTCTCCTAAGTATGATTATATTACAAGCCTTATCCAATAATGGTCTCCAATTCCAACGTTCCTTGAAGCTCGCTCCATGCTCCTTATTGAACATAAAATTTCTTAAAAAACATTCTTCCGAATAGTATGACCATTTATCCTCTCTCATGGTTCTAAACATGAAAGGTTCCTATAAAAACCACAAACAAGATGGGAAAAATTAAGGCAACATCCATCACATTTGTGGTGGTTGTTGCCATTCTTAACCACTAAACGAAAGTTAACAAGCACCATAATAGGCGAAGAAATAACATCAACGACCTTTATTGCCCATGCCTCTTGGGCACTTGTATCTTGGCCCACCACACAATCCATGCACCTTACCAGACTAGGCCAAGCTAGCCATGACCTGCCTCCTATACACTATGTTATATTTTACTTACATTTTTTTCGTTCTCCACCTATATATTTTATTGGTATCTTCTCTCACCCAACTTTGCCCATAACCCAACCATCTACGTGCAATCCAACACCCATATGAAGGTCGTGAACGACAAGTTCTCGACTCTCATCACTAATGGTATATAAGTCCTTGTTCCTTGCAAATTACTATGTTGATACATTCAACCTTGTCATCAAAACCAACTACTATTTCTATTTTACTTAGCTTTCCAATGCCCATCATTGTCTGATTCATTAGATTGATGTAATGATTTTATTTTTGTTCACATTAAACCTCATTGGATGGTATACATGCATTGATCTCTAGGTTTCCATGATCCATAATTTCCTGAACATGTCTTCCATCTACGTTGATCACTATATAACCTTAAATGGGCATTTAGGCCTGATTTATGCGTTTTGCTTATTTTACCATGAGCATCATGTTTCAACATATATATGGTCTAGTTCAAACTTTTTAAATATCATTAGGGATCCTCTATGTCTTACTTTCTTCTACAGGCTAATGACATTCCGCTCACGACCTTCTCTATGACACTTCTCCTATATATTATGCCATCCTTTAGTCATGAGCTCTCCATGCCATTCTTGGGAGAAATTAATTACTTTCTTGGGAATGCTACCACTCTCAGCCTTATTGGGATCTTTCTTAGCCATCGTGCTAAATGAGTTGTATTATGCTGCAATCATTGATGGATTGGCAATTAAGATGGGAGATCCGGATCGATTAATTTTGCCTTGCAAATTTGGCAATTCCACTTCAATAAATGCTTTAGCCGATTCGGGGTCTAGTATACATCTCATGCCATATTCCTTTTACAAGAAGTTCGATCTACCAAAACTACAAAACACAAGGATGACACTTCGAATGACGGATCACTCAATCACTTACCCACGTGGAATTGTTGAAGATTTGTTGGTGAAAGTGGGGAAATTTATTTTTACAGTTGACTTTGTGGTTCTAGACATGAAAGAAGACGGAGACCTTCCTATAATTTTGGGAAGACCATTCTTGAGCATCGCGAGAGCCCTTGTTGACATCCATGATTCTAAGCTTAAATTTCGCGTAGAAGATGAAGGAATAACTTTTGAAATGGATAAAAAAGTAAGACCAAAAGATGTAGTGTTAAGGGTGAATGATTTCGAAGAAGAAAATCTTAGCGAGCTAGATGAGATTGAGAAATTGATGGAAGAAGAGTTGAAGGCTTGGGAGAAGCCTCAAATTGAAGAAATAAAGTGTTCCAAACCGAAGGCTTCAATTCCTATGACCTTTGAAGTATTTGCATTCACTACACCCAAGGCTCAAGTAGATGAAGCAAGTGATGAAGAAGAGATGAGTGAGGTGGAGATTAAACAAGAAAAAATGATTCAATCATTGTCAAGATGGAAGTTGAAGCAAGGGAAGAAAAAAGAAATGAGTGGAAGACGAATCTACCTAGAAAGAATAAAGAGGTGAAACGAAAACATGAAGAAAGCACCAATCAAAAGAAGAAAGAGAACTCGAAAAAGACGTACATAAGGCGAGTTTAAGTGTATAAGAGAAGATGGAAAGAGCAGAAGGAGAAAAGGGAGAACCCACTCCCACCCGCAACAATGTAGAGCAGGAAGGAGTCCAGCTCATGACTCCTCCAAAAAGAAGCGCTTATCGGGAGGCAACCCGATCGTCTTGGTTTGCATTTTCTTTTCGTTTATTTGTGTTTTACTTTTCGCTTTAATTCTTAGGATATTTGATCTTTTCATCATTCTTTCCTGTTTTCCATTTAACTGTGGGGTTGAAATTTTTAGTTGTGTTTATAAAAATATTTTAATTCGGATAAAAGTTTTAAGTTTTTGCGAAAATTAAAGCCCCACGGCGTGGTGAGATTAACTACGACATGATGCTAAGAAAAAAACTTGATATTTATACAACTTTGAATCCCACGACATGACCCATTAAAACACCATGATGTGGCCCAACAAAGGGACCGGTTAGCAGGGGGACCAGTTCAGATCTGGTTGACTTTTAATAGTAAAAACCAAATCTCACTTTCTACAACTCACGACTGCACATACGCCCAATAGCCCCACACTCAAATTTCGATTTTTTCCTCCATTTTCTTCCTCAGTTCCACTTAACCCATCAAGAAGTCTGCATTCTTGTTTCCTAATCTATTAATTTTACTACCGTTGTTCTTGATTTGAAGATTAGAGTTAGATTTTTCAAAATTATTATTTTTGGTTTGAAATTGTTGGGTGCATGTTCGTTTTTTGAGTTTAGAGTAGCCCTAGGACGAAAACCCTTGACATTGTTGGACCATTGCTGGCTTGAATCAATCATGGTTGAACCTTTGCCGTCATATGAACACATGATGTGGCCTTTCCTCGCCACAACGTGGCTACTAGGTATACAGGTTATGTGTTTTTATATTTGAACTGATATGTTGAGATCTGTTTTGGGTTGTTTTTTTGTTATAATTTACAGGGATGTCACAAAAAGGATATAGAAAAGCTAATGTTGATGTGTCCAGTTTGCACCCTCTTTACCAATTCCTACGAGACATGCCGCAATAGATTTTGGAAAGGTTTAACAATCGCTTGAAATGGGTACGTACA